AGCTGAGGCCAGTGGCCTCACAACAGTCATTCAAGTAACCTGAAAGTTTTTATGAAACTACCACTGACACGAATATAGATATTCGAGGCGAAAATGCGTCGAACCATCGTGCATCTTAGCATAGAGCAAAAACGTTTATTAGGAACGAAAACATTCCATATAGACTAAGACTGATTACAAAGCCGTAAGCATCTGAAAGCGTGGACGAAGCATAAAATATGATTTTAATCAATCTCCACAGAGTCTCCTAACGTAAATATGGGCTGGTTTCCTCCTCTGAACAATAGAAAGGAGACGTCCAAAGAGTTTTAGAGCATTTCACAAACAGCAATCAGCCTTCGAAAGGTAATTATCGCGAAACTGCATCAGAACTTCCGAAGCTCCTACTGGAATAAGTGATAACATAAAGCAAACTGTCCAGGTTACGGCGTGAGCTGACGCAGACAGAACCGGTAGATTATCGACCACAGGTTTCCATGGTACTGCTTGCGTGGGCGACAGGACCTCAGCGCTCCAGCGCAAGGCGCAAATACTCAGTTCCGTCCTGCAGTCAGGATGAATCGGTGCACGCCAGTGCCATGTGACTAGTGGGTCGACGCGACGCGAACCAGTTACTGCGGTAGGTAAGAGTGTTTCTGAATGATCAACTAACTCGGTCAGCGAATCTCGAGCGTGCAGCTCGACATTGGGCTAGCACAGGCTGATTACGCTAAAAATGTCGGAAACGGCCATCCTAGTATTGTCCTTCTCAATTATTAATTCATGGTCGCCATGCGAAACCTCAGATCTAAGGCAAACCGCAAGTGCTCAATTTCTAACACTCAACCACGACAGGTTAGTGAAGTTGAATGATTCGGTTTTTATGCACCTCTCCCCTTTTTAAGTGATGTTTTTTTTTCGCATTATTTAATTCATGTGCTGATGCAAGCAGCCTACGATGTATAACAGACAACAGAAAATGGATTAGTTTTATTTCTCCTGAATGCTTTTTCAATAAGAGCTTTTAACTCTCGGCAGATCGAGGTTTTATGGATGGGATTTCGCATGAGACTTTCGGTTAATCCTTGAAAACTCAAATTAATCAGTTATTTATAGATATTTTGGCAGATTTTGAATAATTTATCTTGACGCAACTGTGAAAAACTCGGCGCCTCGGTGGGATTCGAACCCACGCAATAAAAGAAAGGCTTTAATACAGCCAACGCTCTAACCACTTGAACTACGAGGCCCCACCGGACGACACGAGTTTAATCACATTTGGGTCAAGTTACCTGCCCAACCTACTGCAACGTTTGGAATCCACCAATTCTGATACAGTAAGTTGACTGCCCAAGCAGGATTTCCTAAGTAATTCACCTAGAATTCACCAGATGCCTACTAGGCTCACGCCTTCCCCTTACTACGTGGGTTCGAATCCCACCGAGGCGCTGAGTTTTTCACAGTTGGGTCAATATAAATTAAGCAGTCATTATTAAAACGTGACAGTATTTTGTCATTTTCATTCTGGCAGGAAGATCAACATCCCCACAATATTGCTGCCTAAAGTCCAGAGGCTGCAACCTGTAATCAAAAACAAATGTGCAGGAGAAAATGTACCAGTTGGCTTGTCGATAAAGTTCTATAACATCAGTGGAAGTGATGGACTACTGCACGCATTCAGAACCTCAGAACAACAAACAATCCCTACGCTCGGCCAGATAGAATAGTTTTGTTTTTAGAAAAATATGACTGTACAACATCTAACGTTTAACATACCTGTCCTAATTTAGATTTCATTGGACTTTATATACTTAGATCGATAAGCAAATCCTTGTGGCCCACCGGCGGCCCGGATAATGGCGTCGTGGACGCACTCAGCAGACTATCCCATTAGCAAGGTGAATTAACTCTGATGCCAATCTCTTGCATCTAGGTATTATATAAAATAGATCAAATATTTTAATGTCCAAGATAACAAATATCGAAGCAGAGGATGGAAGTAGGACGATTCGCGCAAAATGCTAACCATCGAGCGATTGATATCTTGTATAATTAGCATTATTTTATGGAATTAAAATAGCCAGGGGCAATCTGAACAAATACTATTGGTAGTTCGAGAAACCACTTTCGCAAGAAGTCGTTCCACTTTAAAGTTTGGGACGTTTTTTCCCAAATTACCTCAGAAACTTATTAACTTCATTTTGCTTCGAATGTTAGTTGGAACGGCATGCAAGGAGCGGCACCAAAATTAATCTGATTTTATTCTAAAATCTGTCTCAAGTGATTCACTTCTGTTGATGTTCAGTAGTGTATTCCAAGCTCTACCGAAATCATTGGGTGATGAAATTTTATGTCTATAAAAATCGTGAAAGGAGGAGTCTCATTGCATAATAAGCATAAATAAGTTCATAGACTATAAAATAAAATTCTTACACCATTTTTGCATACTTTGACGCAGAAATACTGAAGTGGATGTCAAATTGCCTCTTCAGTCGTGCCGCTATGTGAGCTTGCGTATAAAGTGCAGTAAGCTCAAAAAACAGATGACTGATATGTGCCGTTATTGAAATAGTTAAAATCAGGGGATTTTAGAAGTGAAATGATGTAAGACGCAGTGGAAACACATGTTCTTTTAGAGAACAAACAATTCGCTCAGTAAGTACTATCGTACTTTACGCAGCCTTGGAAACAGATTTATTTTATTTACTAAACATACTTAACAATTACATTAACTTTATCAAAAGAGGTTCCATCTGTGTAAGTTACACAAACTATACAAACGTTGCAAATTTATAGGTGTGCCATTTTTCCACATTGCTAAGTATCGAACAGTGTTTTCTTCAGGGTAAGATAATTCCATACTAACAGCACAGGTACTAGCCAAATGTCCATACACACGTGCTTCGCCGATATTCTGCCGCTGCATGACAACTGCGAGGGACTCGGTTCGTCAGAGGGTCCGCCAGCATTACTTGTCTGCTTCCTGGTAGATACTCCAACACGGAAATTATAGCTCTTTAATTTCCTCAAAAATTAACTGCGAAATTAAAGTAGATCAGTAAATTTAAGGTTTAAAGGCTCAGACCTAACCGGTTGTGCGTCCTGGTTGATGGACTTCGGTCCAAATATTCATACATAAAAACTCCGATCTGAGCCTATAGGCTTTAAAAATACGGATCTACTCCAAGTCCGCGGTTAATTTCTAGGTAAATTAAAAAGCCACAGTGTTCCTTTGTTGTTTAAATTCTTTTCACGAACGGTACTTTACTGAGGCAAGTCTGCAGTGAAATACGGTTAAATAATGAGCAAAACTGATGCTCACTGACTGGACTCCGTATGAGTCCCCAAGTTGTGAACTGTTATTAAAATGCACTTTAATACTGATAACGTGATAAAGTAAGATCTACTTAATGACCATCCTAGCATTCGGGAAGATTAAACTATACAGAAGTTCTGCTCAATCCGTAGTCCTTTCCCTTTTTTCCCGATGCCCGCACGAGTTCGGCAACGATTCCTTGAAATACAGATCGTTAACTTTCCCTGTCCTAAATATTTTACAGTAGTACGCGTCTACCGTCGACCTTCAAATTGCAACATTCGAACAAAACGCATGCGGCTATGTCCTATATTCTGAGGTGACTTTTCATGACAAGGTAAAAGGGCGTCTAAATATGTATCCCGAAAACCCTTAAGGATGAGTTTTGTCGTCAAAAAGGAGGTAGATTTGTCCTTGTAAACATAGGGTAGTACGTGTTTTCAGCAATTTAAACAACTCCATAAAAAAAATCAAAACCACGGCATTCTTGCGAATGTACCTTGAAGTGAGTAGTTGGCTTTAATCAAGTCTTTTTACACAGGTCATATTAAAGAGTCAGAAAACCCATTGTATTCCACCAAGAAATAACAAGACGTTTTCTAGGGCAGTCGACTTTTTGTACGGCTTATAGTTCCGGAGTGGGGTGGAAGAATTCGGTTTTCGGTAAGCTTCACTGGCGATAAGCAGAATTGCTTGCAATTACTACTTCATACTTTCTACGACTACGAAGTTTTGGAGTTCGCAGCCGAGACAAAAATGCAGTAATTTTGTTCTGCGATTAAAATAGCTTGCTGAAAGTCTGTCCTTTATAAAACAGTTGTTTTCTCTTATGATTTTCCAAATACGGTTTCTCAGCACTTTATTTTAAAGAAGAAATCACAAGTGAACTTTGAGTTATCGTTTTGATCCAGTAATGCCAGTGCATATGTTGCTGTTAAACCTTGGGCAACCATCACTAGTAGTTCACATATTAAGCTTGAAGTAACGCATGCGCCTGAGGATATGTGGGCAAAAAATATTTTAACCCCAACGACATGCAGTAGAAGCTAGCGCGATTCTAAACATATTACCTAATATACAATGAAGATGAAAGTCTCGTTTTAATCCACTGCGTCAGAGACTGATTCCAATACCAACCTTTGCAACAACACATGCCTTTTTCTTAGTTCGCCCTGGCGGTTGCCGTATTGTTCTAACGGACACTTTACGGGGATAGGTGACTTACTCCTACACTAAACGTATTGTACATACACATATGCATACAATGTTAGGGGGCGCTCACCGATCGTTCATACGGAACTCACTCGTTCCGTTGTGCCTTATGGACTCTCTCTCGAGCCCAACCAGCAGCCGCACAGCGGCGCATGATATATAGGCAGAACGGAACGAGTGAGTTCCGTATGAACGATCGGTGAGCGCCCCCTAACATTGTATATTCCCGATCGAAAACCGACAAGGCAACGGGCTCGTGGCCCGGTGAGTAGAGGCGTTGACTTCTAAACCAACAGGTCGCGAGTTCGAGGCTCGGGTGTTCCACACTTCGGGCTTGGGTATGGCTGGCTGACGACGGCTAATAAGCCAGAAATGGCCATTCCAGTCTCCCTTGTCTTTGTCGGTAATACTATTCTGCACATATGCATACATATTGCACGTACATATGGTAGGGGGCGCTCACTGATCGTTCATACGGAACTCACTCGTTCCGTTGTGCCTTAAGGGCTCTCGCTCTCGAGCCCAACCAACAGCCGCACAGCGGCGCATGATATATAGGCAGAATGGGGACGGGAATGGCAATTTCTGGCTTATTAGCCGTCGTCAGCCAGCCATACCCAGTCCCGAAGTGTTCAACACCCGAGGCTTGAACTCGCGACCTGTTATTTAGAAGTCAACGCCTCTAACCACTGGGCCACGAGCCCGATGGTTATATATATTATGGTAGAGGGGCCTTCTCCGATCGTTCTTTAACGGAATTCACTCCCCAATATTATCGTAACAGTACAATAATAGAATTCCGGAAACCTGTGAGTATATTAACTTCTTGTAATGTGAGTGGATGCAGAGGAAAGATTTTCATCTTTGCTGTCTTCTCTCATTTCCAAGGTCCAGTTTGGGTTCTACGATTGGTGTCACCTTACCAATTCTGGAACTATAAAACGATCAATAGATGAAAATGACATCACAGAAGTGATCTATGTGCCCTTCAATGGCATTAATCCGGACGAGCCTCTCGGCGATCTGCGCTACAAGTGGTGCGCGTATTCCGATTCTGTAATTCTTCGCACCTGTAAAAGACTTCGTATCCTGCATGATGAAGACCTATTCTGTCATCCGCGCCATAAATTCCATCTTATTGATCCGATCATGGGCCCGAACATTCAAGAAATCATGAGTGCACCTGAAAAGACGCCACTCGTGCTAAGTAGGGCGTTTCGTATTTTGAAAAGACAACTAATGCGCAACAACAATCAGACACAGTACACACCGTGGGCAGTGAATAGCTTTGCCCCACATCCGTCTCCGTCGAGAACTCTTCGGTTCTCAGTTGAAACCGGACAGTACCTCAACAATTTTTCAAACGTAAGTGACTGAATAGTGCAGAATTACTCAAGAATTTTCCGAACCCTTTTATAAACTGGGTTGATCCTAACTTTACGGATCTGTCCCTTGAAGACAGATTTGACTCAAAAGCCTACTAGATGCCACCTTGATCATTTACATTACATAACTGAATACTGAATCAGGGGCGTCAAAACTTCTCTCGAAGTAATATCTTATTGACAAAGAATGTTGGTGAGAATAATAAAGAAACTAGAACGTTCGCATATCCTAAACCGGCCTCTTGTGTTATGCAACTGTGTCATGCAGTGAAGCCATGCTTAAATAACTATAATTAACCGATAAGCTTTATTTAATTAGTTGCAGGAACGAAATGAGTAAAAAGGGACTTTGAGGTGATACGCTTATTAAGTTATTTGACATCCAGAAATTTTACTAGAAAACAGAAAATCACGTAGAAATTCACCCCAAAAATTCAAGTGGTCGCTCATTTTGACGTCCAAATTCAATCTTGATAGGCAGTTGACGTAATAACACACTTAATTCCAGATCATCGGGCAAGTTAAAACCCATCACTTACCCTCGGCTGACCCGAGGCTAAAAGGAAAAAACAATACCAAAAGCTGCATTTCTCTCCGGAATACAAATGCGGACGCTGTGAAACTGTCAACATCCTCAGTAAACCTTAAGAGGCCCCAAATTCATCCAATCCTGAGCAAACAAGTTCGGAAAAACACTCGATTTTATCTTGAGATAGTTCAGTACGTTCGGAAAACTTCTTACGCGACGCAACTAAAAGGGCAAATCCAGAATTAGCAAGCGATCAAGGGATAACATTGTACGTTAGGGGCACAGGCAATAAGCATTTGATTAGTTAACCAGATATGCCTTCCAAATACCTTATATATTATCCTAATGTGAAATTTGATTAAGAGTCTGTTATGTACAGAAATATCTGAGCAGCCAGTCAAACCACAGAATTTTCTCAGCGCTCATTCAGATGAAAAATCAGTTGGCAGATTGATCTGTCAGAATAGACCTTTCTGTTTTAGTTCGACATCTTGAAACACGAGAACAGCTTGTGTATATTTTATTACCAAAGGCTTTAATTCATCACATCCTTATAAGTAGGGCAGTAGGTCAGACGCTTTTCAGTTTCAAGTGCGTCATTACTAGAGAATACGCACTTATCAAACAACGTTTCGGTGTTCTTGTGACAGATTCTACATCTCTCCACAACATAGAGAACAGTTAGATGACCGAATGCCAAGCACCAAGCGTTAACCAAATCTGCGCAAAAGATTAATATATGATGTCAAAATAAGAAACAAGGGCACTTTTTAAAAGATTTCGATTTCTTGAGTTGGATAAAAATAAGACAATACTTTTACTTGTGAAGTCTAAAGATCGAATGTGAGTATTTGAAGAAAAAATGGTAAATGAGGAAAAGTTACCAAATAGGGGTGGTGACAGGTTTTATAGGAACATCGAGGAAAAATATGTTTAGAGCTGTCAGTAATAAATAAAAACTCGGTCATAGCGATAATTTTTAAATATCACTAAGCATCAAAACCGAGTCCAATTTTAGGCGTTTTTGGAGAAAAATAAAAGTGGAAAATAATAACTTCCTTAACCTGTTTTACACGTCTTTCTTCTTAAACTTCGTGACATAAATACATATTTGGGTCGTTTATTGGACGCGAAACCTCATAACCTTTGTGCACCTAACGCATAATTGATATAATTAAAGGCATATGTTCATAATTTCTCTGTCGTCATATTGAGCATCATTTAGATAATTGCCTTCTTTTTATTCTTACAAATCCCTCAGTGCAAATTTCACTTAAAACCTGGCTGTTCTAATATTATTTGGCAATAGTAAAAACATCGCAAGAAATAGTAAGGTTATGAGATATTGAAGCTTTTCAAATTGTTTCGGTTTGCACTATGCTCGTTTACCAAGTCATAAAAATCAAGTTCATTTCTCCCTTCATCACCCATCAAATCCTCTTTGACACTTGCACCAGAGAACGATGATGGAGCACGCTTATCTGCGAGCTTATCTGACCCAAAATTCGCTGAAAGAGTTTGCAACGAGTCGCTATTTTACGAATCAGTTTCAAGTCATTTAAGTAAACCCTGGATTATTTTATTAGTAGTATTGGAACTCTTTAATTAAACATCGTCCTATGACATGTAATCTGCTTTAGAGTTGAAGGCATGTGCCTCAGTTTCAAATTTCGTTGGGATCTGCAACAACTAGACAAGGGCAAGCGTTCTATTATGGACGGGCTGTGGCATCGCTTTGCACTTATTGAAATGTTTCGACTGATCAAACACCTGTTTTGCAAGACTTATTCTATGATTAAAACTAAATATCGCCAAGCACATAACTCCATTGGGCAAAGTGAGTCATGAAATGTCCCATTCATAAGTTAATATCATTCATAAGTTAATATCATGCAGTTTCCTAGGTAGTTTGTACAGCTGGTGACCAATCTCACAAAATGTTGGCGCGAATCACCAGGTGTGTTTTCTACTAAACAGGATTACTTAGGCCTAATATTTGTCATCATGCAACAAAATCTTAAAATATTTACTTAACGCCAGGATGTCGGCCTTCAACTGCACCCCTTTTCGGTCGTGGGCGAAGATCTTACTTATTACAGAAGGACTGCTTGGGTAGTACGATTTGTTACGTTCATTTTCTATACCCTTGTAAGTTCGAGAATGCATAAAAATTCGTTCTTGTGCACATTTAGTAGCGAAATAAGTCTTCTGCAAATTTTAAGCTTGGGGAGAGTGTACCCGTCAGTTTTAAACAAACTTCCTTATATTAGATTTCTGAAGACAACAAAATATCCATGCATGCAGCATCAAATATGTCATTCTATAAATTCTGTTCATGAAGTATACAAAAGGGTCTACATTAATTGCAAAAGCGCATGAACCCTTCTTAACAGTGTAGAGAAATGTATGGTCTACCTTACACAGAATGTATGCAGCATGCCGTTTTTAGATCTCAAGCGGATATGTATTTTCAGAGTTCAAAAAACCATTATTTGGAAATTGAAAAAAGTTTCCTCAAACCGAAAGGTAGTCTTTCGGACGCACGGCCGCTAAACAGAATGTTCTTTGCAAATAAATGGACACCAGAAGGAATAGGCTTGGACACTTATTTTGACAAGACATAGCTGGATTGGGAAAGGCATCGAAGATCAGCGGGGAAATGTATGTTAATTAAGGCAGTTATTTTATACGAATCATGGCTTCCGAAGGCGGCTGGACAGAAGCTCACCCAGAAGCCGGCATAATGGTGTGACTGATAAACTTTGGAATTATGCTACACGTTAATAGATATTACGCTGTCACCTGAATAATCCTTTTCAGGCATTAGCATGACTGTGAATGGAGCTTGACTGCTAAAGTACTCCAGTCGCTAATCAGGGAAGGACTGGAAGATTAGCTGTTCCTTAATCTCGAGCACAGGTAGCGTGTTTCATGGGGTTATCCTACAGGAATAACTTAGTAGACATTACTTGCTGCACATAAAGAAAGCCTTTCTGGCCTGTACCGAAAGTGCATTTTGTCGTTTAAAAATTTCGACTCAATCGTCCTCTCTATAAACTATCTCTACCTACGAGATATAATTAACCTCCTTCGATGGGCACGTTTCAAAGTGTTTATTTTTTTACAGAAATTTAATCATCAGACTTTAGTCGAAAGGCGAATTGCCTTCTTCATAACTACTACTTTTTCTCTTGATTTCATTTCTTTCAGTCCATGCGCTCTATCTTAGAGGTGCTCATGCAACTGATCAAAAACGAAGGAAAGAATAGGTTGAATTTCGGTCTCAACCTGTGCGTGCGTATCCAGTTTACTGGTGGTACGCGCGGGGGAAAACTTCGAGGAGTGGGGTGCCTTAACCCTCGTGAAAATTTGACGGACCGCCTCCTGGCACATATTACCCTCGCCTCTTTAGTACGACCGGGGCCGAACCCTGACTGGATTACCATTGCTAGCAATATAACTCGTCATAGTCTTGATAACATTCCCAGAAGTCTCGTGAGTTGGAAGACAGAATGGCATGATGTAAGGGTAAGTGAACTGTCATTCAAAACCCTAATTGGCATTTTGCATTTTTGAATGTTTAATGATAAGTAACACAGTCAGCACAAAAATGGGATTCATAAATCAACTGTCCCAGATCATACTTCTAGACACCCTTATGCTTTAATCCTCGCCGGCAAAACCAATCTCATCATAATTCCTCGTCACTACTACTACTACTACGACGACTACAACCCTTGTCTTTGACTTCTTATTCTACTGCTCTTTCGTGCTCCAGAATTCGCCGTTAACATGAACAAAATAAATTTGCAGGCAATTTGCATTCGTATCCAGATGTTCTGTCCGGAAAAGGAAAATGCGTTGATAATAAGAATTTTCCCGATGTATCTAATTTTTCCTGGGGGATACAGAGAGGAAGGATTCTATAAGATTTGCAATTAGCAGCGACATTAACTGTCACACCAAGTAATTTACCTTCCGTCTAATGGCAAGGAAGCAATTAGTGGTGGAGAGTCTTATCTACAGTCCCAGCTCTCTCTAAAAAGATAACACCGAAATAACAGCATACGAAAAGGAATCGAATTGTGACCGATGAGGGCTGTTTCAAGTAAAGTTGAGTGACTTCCTCTCATTTGTCTCAATGTTGAGAAGTTCATTTTAAATTAGATAACGGAAGGCAATTCAAGGGAAAGTGAGTGTTGTCTGCTTAGTGTGTAGCTAACGCGTCAGGACCACATATTTCCGATAATAACTAAAGGGAGTAATAACAAAAACGACATCAGACGAAATAAAATGAGAGTTTTATAGGAATACGTTTCCATCTAAAATGGGCACATTTAAAGAGATTCCGAAAATATCCGAAAAGACATTAATTTAAGGCGATTTCAAATCGCTATCGGATGACAAAAATCTTGAGCACTGTCTAACCAGGCTTGTCGACTTGATTAAGTGAAATGGAAACTTCTATTTAAGCTAAATAATTGTGTTTATCAAACATTTGTAAGAACTCGTGTGTAAACTACAAGAACAATGTGACTGTAGCATGATCAGTGTCCGTCGTACGATTATTGTCTGACGCTTATTGATTTGGGTGGCATAGTTAATTATGACATGGTTGGAACAGGCACTATCCAGCACAACGATAAGCCAACTTATTTGCTCACTATTTATATCTTAATGAAGTTACAACAACATTCTGCTGCTACGCTTGCTGGAGCTTCCGTCAACACCGAGAACAAAAAAATTTCGGTAAACGATGAAGGTTTCAGAGAACAGAAACGAAGACCTCGGGACCTCGGAAAAATAAATATGCTTGCTTATAGAAACGAACAGGCGAGTTCTAGAAAGCAATTCAGAGGAAGGAGATGCGATCACCGGAACAAGAATTTTGTTGGCCTGTCGTTTCGGATTCTCACTCGAGCCCATCATCAGTGACGGTTGCAGATGAAGGTTGTGGAGGCACAAAGACTGCATTATTTATAGCACGTAGCTGCCGTGGAGTCACATGCGTACTATAATTAACAGCCCACGTGATCACCGCTGAGGGTCGTAATTAAGGCGATGATGACTCGTCAGTCCGCGTTAAATACCGCAATTTCATCATCCGTGTTGGATGTTGACGTGATGATGATTCGGTGAGTTGGCCCGCTGTCACCAGGATAGTTGAGTTCCCGCGCCCTCCTCACGTGACTGATTCCCATGATCATGGAAAATGTCAGTACTGAATATGGTACCAGGAGGTCATCGTGCTAGTTGATGGCTTGTGGGCCTGAGAACCATGATTCGGGCAGCTCGCGGCTCACTCATTTGTCAGCTTTTGCAAGGATTTCGGCCTCTTGAAAATTGGAAATATGGCCGAGATCCGTGGAATGAGCCGTTACCTAAGAGCTGTCGTCTACCCTCCATATCGCTGCTACGTGCTCAGCCGTGCGCGTCCGGAGTAATCTCCCAGTTTCTCCAAAGTAGTTGCTCAGTCCGCAACTGCACCAGATTCGGTTAGAGATTCCAGACGTCTACCTTGGCAGCGGGACTTTCGGCCTGATGGTTGCTTCCAGCCTGCATGCAACCCCAACTCCAAGTTGAGTGGGAGGACGGCTGACGGCCTCCGAGACGATCCTCACGTACGGAAGTGCTGGTCAAAATTTAGGGTCGGTCGAGTTTGGTTTCTGGCTTCGTCTGCGTATGCATTGTTTGAAAATGCTGCGCAGGTAGACATCGGCTTTCAGTACCCGTCGAAGATATTGCAATTCAACAACCTTGTCTTCCGTTCCACTGCAGTGTGTCTCAACGCGTCGGTAAAGCGACCTCACACACTTGCTTTTGCAACCGATCGGGTGATTACTGTTGAAATATGTTTGTCTAGATTGTCCTCAAAGGGTTTTTCGTTCACAGCGGCTACGTAGGGCCGATATGGAAACAGGGATGTGCCAAGTGACTGTTAAGCTATTATCAGAAAACCATAACTGATGCGGCTCTTCGTCCTTTTGTAGCTCTTTCCTAGAATAGTTTTAAGTGTAGCGAATTCGGAAGCGTGACCGATGTCTGTCATATGGAAATCGGTGTGTGCTAATTTAGTGCTACGCCCCAAGTACAGAGTAGTTAACAGTTCATGCCATTTTACCTTATCTTGAGTCTGTATGACTCAGCTGCCGAGTGTGGTTCCAGATTGATAAGTGGTGCCCAAACTAAAGCGAGAATTTATGCGCGTTGTTACTTCTACCACGTTAGTAACGTATAACAAGACGCCTCACAGGTTTTTTAAGAATAACTTTTGAACAACCTCTTTTTATGACGGATTGAAAAGGGCCAATTGCGGGCCCAAAATTCCGAGACACACTTTAGTATTGGCCACAGAAGATGCCTAAATTCAGCGAGAGCTTAAAAGGTTCGACTGTTTTCGGATACACAACAAACTAGAAGAATATTCAGGCAGGCAATGAATATCTTTTCTGCCGATTTTATCTTCCAACATCTTGTCGCTTGTCAAAGAGAGGCCACTCAAATAATAAATAAAGGATAGAGGAATCTTACGGCTTCCGGAGGACAGGGGATGACAAGAGCTCCTGATTAACAATCCATATTTACTCAAGAGAGTGAACACAGTCCGTAATGATCACGAAGTTATCTCATGTCATAAATTTTAGAAAAACCGATACGACCTCTAGTCGTTAGTGCTAATAATCTCTTCCGTACTCCGATGGATTGTTACATTTTTGACCCGGTATTCCTGACCTACTTTCCCGTTATTTTTGATTTCTTTGTTTACTTTTGTCGTCACCTCTTACAAAGAAGTTAAACAAACCCGATAGTAGCCTGTGTCGGGTTTTCTACATATCGTAGCACTTACAAAACTGAACAGTTTTTCTGACCAACAATAAGCCAAAAATTGCATAACCATTGTGCGTTTTATAAACGCTACGCACTGTGTGATCCGCCGTTTGATTTATATCCAAAAAGATATACTACCTGCGTCTAAATTGTTATTACTTGCGTGGCGGTCAAGGATGTTAGATCAACTGTAACCGCACACAATAATTTCGTTCCGTCTTATATCCGAAGTCAGGGAGCTGTAAGAAGAGGTTTATTCTGTACATATGGCAGGTTGCCGAGTTGGTTGTTTTCTTGTGACAGAGCTAGGCGTCCGTCCCCGGAGAGCGTCAGCCGTAGTGTGTTGTTTACGTGAGAGTGAATGTCTGTCAGCGGGAGAGGGGTGACTGGCTGAGTGTTGATCATGTGGTTGGACGGATTAGGGGAGGAATAGGGGGGTGCATGCTCACAAGGTCTCACAGGTATCAAGGCAGGTCGTCCGAGGCGCGCGAGCTGAAGAGAGTTTATGAGGGCAGCCGGGAGTCACTGCAGCTGGACAGGACGTGAACCAGTTCTAGCTGGCGGGAATGGTCGTGTGTCAACGGCCTGCCAACGGTGGCCGCGGTCATTAACCGACAAAATATAACCGGAGAAGGGGACGCTGGAGCGGCTGCTATACTTGCATGTCAAATCTTGCCTAACGCAAGCAATAAGCACATGTGAAATCGTTCGGTAACGCATCAACTAAGGACTGGTCACAGTCAACTTAGGCGGATTTAGCCCAGTACTACTAGAACACACGAAAACATATTTCGTCTTATTTTAAAATGTAATTCTGCTGGACCCAGCCCCTTTTAAAGCGGAAAATGAAGTCAAACTCTAGCTGAGCCGGCATGGTGTTTAACTGCACCCGGCTGCCTGTACAAATTAAACCTTCCGTCTTTGAACTAAATGTGTCGGATTAGAACGTAGAGAGCGACTGTTGATATAGCTGCGGTAGAAGTTTCCTCTTGCTAGCTTGGAACTTGGTGGATGATCATAGACGGGTAATAATAAGAAAAACTATTTTGTCATCCAAAATTTTGGAGGAACGAAATCCGCAGTCAGGCCGAACTAGCTAACTTATGCTGACGACGTATTTCAGTCATGACATATTCATTAAATGATTAACATTTCTAAAAAAACAGCCCAGTAGGTTTCAAAGCGTAAACCACAAAGGGATCTTCTAATTAGAACATTATTTTGGGAAACATTATTTGGATTGGTTAATATTAGTCTTACTTGTAACTAGAAATTTTTCTGATACCTAGCGCACAGCTTTCGTAAATAAGGAATAATGATTATTAAATTATAATCTCAGAAAATAGCAGCTGTTGTTGATTAACGCCTGAATGCTATAATTTGTCCGAAAAAGAACACTTGCGTAAGATATTGAGTTTGATAAATCCTACAAGACTTGAAGTTAGTCGCTAATCTTATTATGACAGCATGTTGAACACTTGTCGTAGTACGTTACCTCTAGTAACTAGCCAATTTTGATTAAAATGGGCTGGGAGAAATTGGCATCTCACGCATCTAAGAAGCCTCTGCCGTGAGCAGGAGCAAAGTTTAATGTCGTATGGGGTCCCATTTCCGTTTTTTAAAATCTAAAATAGCACATTATTTAACAAGAAGCAGTTGACTTTTAATTAGGGAAATTCATACTTTGAAACGAAAGTCGTCTTAATCAGAACTTCGCCCTTCAGTGACGGCGATCGCCTGCATATGTGGTCAATAAAACTAAACGTCGGCAGGCCTTCGCTGTTTTTTCACAGCTATTGCGTGTCTGTGAGGCATATCGGGATGCGAAAGTTGTCAGCGCCGCGCCCTGCTGGGCGCGCTAGCTAGCGCAAGCCAGCGGAGGGCCTGTGTGCGTGTGCGTTCATATGTGGCTTAGATGGAGGGGGAGGGGGCGGGAGGCGAATGGAGGTCCCAAGATGGTTCACCATGGCGGTATGAAGCATCGACCACTCTCCAGAGGCGTCCGCGCAGGCTGCGCTCTGGGGCCTCTACTCCACGTTCCACCCCCACTTCTGGAAAGCCGTACGTGCGCTGCGGACAGCCCTCTCACTTGCTCTCAGCACGCTGGAACTACGCCCCTTAGAGTTCACAAAGGCGTATGCCAGCCCGACGTGAGAGCAATGACTTAACCCGACAGTCAGCGTTTGCTGCACCGCCTTTTTGCAAGCTGTGAGCTGGGAGCGCAATTTGCAGCGTACTGAGGACGCGCCCAGAGAGAGGGCTTTAGGCGAAGGCCAGTCCAAGCCACCGCTTGTGGAGGCAGGGCGACATCGAGGGGGCAAGCAGAATGGGCTGGGAGGATGAGACGACAGCAGCAGATGCAGCAGGAGCCATAGCAGCCATTTAAGCGAGAGAACGGTCGGCATTCTGTCCCCTGCTCGTGTGCGCCTACGCCTCGAGAACGGGTAAGAGTCGGCAAACATAAATGTGATCAAGCTAGGATTCGCGAAATGCCTGCGTGACTGCGTTCGCCTACGTGACACATGACACAGAGCAGAGCGAGGCATAGACTTTACGTTAAATTGCACTAAGCGGAAATCAGGTCCGGCAGAGCGAAAGTCACGAAGAACTCGGAAATGGGTTCCTAGCGCAACTTCCTGCCCGAGACTTTTGCCCAACTCAGCTAACCGTATTTAGAAAAATAACGAGGGAGTTAGGTTTGTAAATGTTTATTCTATGCGATGGCCAAGGGAGAGAGCCCTTTGAAAAGCAGGTGATTTGATAGGACGGCAACGATCGGGAGAAGGCCCTTAAACACACACACGACCAACCAAAGCGCCTGTCTTACGGGAAATGTGGTAATAGGGATTTTACGGGCGAGGCCTAGGTACGCATAGAGGAATGGCTAAATAAGTATAGATAGTTAGCAGATTTTTTTTCGGTTAGAAAAGTTTTAAGGCATTGACATGTAGCAGCCAAAGTAAGCAGGACAATTAAAAAATAAACAGTAGGTGCCTACAACGATCGCTTCTCAACTCTGGGCTGAGGTCAGTGTAGATTATGCACCAGACCGTCTACAACAGACGACCCAACCTTATACGATGAAACGCCAAACCGAAACAATCGTGCCGGACCTAAATCCACTTCGATAAGTAGGTAGTGTTTGCATGCCACAGATGTTTGGGGGCCCTAACCCGATCCTTACCGGTAGGACTTGTTAAAACAAGACATTTTGAGTGCTAACCGAAACCAATAAAACCGCGAAGGTTAGTATGCATAGCAATGCTTTTAGAAATGCCGGCTTTGTTTATCACCTAGTGCTCCATGAGCGTTTATTTTGGTTTACACAAGGTGCAGTAACACGAAGTAAGGGAATTTTCACCAATCACTTAAATATTTGAATACTATGTTAATGTGCATGTTTATTTTTTAATTGCCTGCTGACCACAAACGTTGGAAGACGTCTCAACAAAACGGCCAATACAGGGCCTTAGTAAAAGTGCTCCAGGGGGGCATATGTAGTCTGGAGTATCATTTCGTACGCGCCTAGGACGTTCCTCTTTCTGCTCTGTCTAGGTCATTCGAGTTTAACGTTTATTGAAATGTAACATTTTGCTTTTCAGAATACATAGGAATTTACTGTTTGCACTCAGATACTTTCACATATTTAAGTGCCTTTAGGAGATAGTCCTTAGGTAACAATTGACAGTCATGAAAATTCGACTCTATCATAAAGGAGGCTGTGTAGGAAAGACAGTAGCAAATACCAGGAAAGCACAATATAACAAACTATAGCAAAGACGACAGACCAAGTCTCGCAAAACGTGCTAAGTAATAACTTGTAGAAGACAAACTAAGTAAACAGAGAGAAAAGTGCATTCATGCTTTAAAACCAACTGACCTTTTTTAACACATTATCTCGATTTAGCGCCTAACACAAAAAGTAGGTGGAGACGGCCGGCCCCCTAATGTCGAGAAGTAAACAGTTCAAGATATGAAGGGTATCCAGCCACTAGAAGTCCGACATTTCTAAGGTTAACTAGACTAGCATTCCATGCAACCGGCAGAAAGTTTTAATAGTTTTACTAATTGAGCGTGCAGAAGTCCAATTTTTTTTTATTAAAATGAAGATAAAATACTAAACTATAAGGCAATGAACAGCAATAAGTGCTCTTTGCTGTAAACGGAAAATAAACACTGCGGTTAACATAATGCCGGCCTTCCTTTTAATAGGAAGGAAACAGCAAAAGCGTCTTCAGTAAAATCGATCATGCTTCCTACGACTAACAGTAAAATGAATTGCAGACAGCTAGAAAAATGTTTATTTATATCTTAATTTTAATGTAAGATACTCTTTTGCCGGTGACATGTCTTGCATTTATGTCTTTAACTCGGAGTAGTCGAGCAGCGTTTCCTGATAGTTATCAACAAAAGGACAATTAAGGCTTGTCAATCCGATTTATATTATTTAAATAATTTAACAACAAGTACGTTTAAAGATGTATCATAGCTTATTTAAAAAGACCCAGTACTGGTATTGCTTTATGCCAGCATTTGTTAAAAGTCTGGGTAGAAACAATTTAGGTACTTTTCTTTATTTTTACAATTTATTTTCATTTTCAGAAGATTATCTGGCATATAATGGACAAATTACCTAAGCGTTGGGGCCCCTTTAAGTACCAAATGTTGAAGAGGGACCGGGATGGGATGTTTATGAACGAGGCCTTCCAAGCGATATTCTTCGAACGCATGGAGACATACCAACGGGAGTATCGTGAACAGCGCAAAGAACTAATGCGCAAAATTTGACACTTTTCTTCAAAATGTATGCGCAGTGACCAAACGGGTCACTGTGATTTGGAAATTCTTTGTCCTCCCAGAGGTCTGCGATGCGCTGGAAATTCACAGCCTCTGAGACAAAGCCGTTATTCTTTGCATTCTGCAAAAATAAAGTTCAACATCCGAGGAAATAGATTACAACGACTATATATATTGACGTTAAATTTAAAGTAGGCTTTTTCCCAACCAAAGAAGACACGAAAAAAGCTCGGTTTTGTTCGGCAACAGGCATTTCAGCATAGACTTCCCAGCATCAAATAAAAAAGGCAAAGTACAGCATAGGAGTTCAGTAACGATAAACCAATTTGTTTACGTGAACGTTTTATATGTTTTAGAGAGGTATAAGCGTTTTCAGAATGCAGCGTTATTAAATTGGTAAGATGGATAAAAGATGGCAATTAACATCATTTCGTTTTGTTATCAGCTTCTCACGTTGAATCGAAATAGCACTCATCAGTACACCGGAGGAAAATGCGACAGTCAACTATGAAGTGTCCGCTAGTTTCTGATGTCACTACCTTTACACTCGTCCTGTACACAGGCTCCACAAACCCGGGTCGTTTAAGCTAAGAAATACATGCAGGTTCTTTTGCCAAAAAACATTTGAGGCGGCTTGGATAAAAGGTGCAACAGTAAAACGGTTTAGACCCACGAAACCGAGAAATATAAATGCCTGCTAACGTTCCTTCGAGAAGATTGTCAACTAACAAGACTTAAGTCATTTACTCACTGCATTCACAGTATATTACGTACTCGACAATCTAGCAACCCTTGTGTTAATTTAGCTCCCTAAATATCTTGACATATTTTGGTGAACTGCCTTGTTACCTTAAAATTTTCTCACGGTTTAAAAGGCAGCGGCGTTTGCAGCGGTAAATTGTGTAGCGTTTATCTGTTCATTAACTTGCAAACTAATAAGATGCGGACTGGGCTGCGAACGTTTGCTAACAGCATTAGGAGTGATGTCAGTTAGATATTTTCGGTATATTTAGGTAGTCCGATTCAGCATCATGCACCTCGTTATTCAAGCTACAAAAATGTTTTGTCTCACTTCACAGAAGCGAATATAACATGTGGAGGTCAGGTAGCCGGACAAAGGCAGTTTAGTCATTTGTAAGATTGTGAAGCAATCAGAAGCGGACAAAATTTCTTTTAACAGTCAACAGGTGGCTATCCGGAACAGCTGAACAGCTGGATACAGGAGTGACTTGGGTCGTCAAAAATAACTTACTATTCCGTTTGAATTAGCCAGTTTGTCTCTTAAATTTCAGCAGTAAGATGCAGGAATATTTTAAAAAAGTTTGACGTAGATTGTTGCTTCAAATGAACATGTAGAATTTATCTCTTGAAATTTTAGACTTCAAGATTGACGTTCAGTAATATCCACGTAACTGGCAATATCGGAGGGAGAAACGCAACTTTTGTATTATTCATCATTAGACCAGTACAGTAATAGAAGTCTGGGTAGGCCAGCAAAAGATGAAAACAACCAGCGAACAATAAGGACGAATAGCGGAATTTTGAGGGTGTGGAGACACGTCTGAACAAGGAAAAGAAAGAAGAATGATCTAGTTTTGTCAGGGAGGACAGATTGAGGGGGGGGAGAGGGAATTTCCAGTGGATTGTGTTTGCGTCTCGTCGCTTTAACGTGACGTAGTGTGACATAGATAAGAATGTGTACGTCTCATTTGGGGCGAAGGTAGCTGGGACATGAACGAAAGTCGCCCGCAAATCCCTGAGTTTTTTACTAAACGAAAGGATATATGTTCACTAAATACAACGAATTGTCAAGTTAACGCCAACAAAATAAGTTATTTGGAATCGGTCCACCTGCGATAAGTTTATGTGTTGTATACTTAAACTTTCAAATGGTTCACATGTGCTTTGCAGATTTGTTGGTACGGCTTATTAAAATATCTTGACCAAAATAAAATATCCACACGAATATCATCACAGAACTCAAACAAACTCGAGTTTCTTGGAAACTGTCTCATGTAAAGCCTAAAACCCAATTAATCTAGAAAGTACTGTAACCTTTGGCCGAGTTCCGACGTAAATATTTTCACTTTACTTATATACGCTTCTATGTAAAGTTCGTTTTTCGGGCATAGGAAGATCGTATATTAAATCCGTCCATTACACAACAGTTCCATAACATTTAATATTAGCCACCCTTTTGGTAAGTGTCGTAATATAACACCCAGTTACACAGTCACAAAGATAGAAAATAGGAGGTATGTCTCTGCAAATGAATTGATTTACCACAGTCGGAGCACAGAAACCAAGCATCTGGCACAAAATCTACTTGGGTTTTGCATAAAAATCGGTCAGCATGAGAAAAGTTGCTAGGCATATTAGTCTAGAGCAGTTATCGCTCTGATAAACTCTCTTGATATACTTATACAGAAGGGGGTTTTGGGCACGAGGACGGTCAAACAAACTACTTTGGTTGCTGATTGATTTTTGAACCCTCTTACATCCTGAAATTTTCGGAATTAGGAAGGCACCTTCTACTTTTCTCAACTCTTTAGAATAAAACGCTCAAACGACGTCTTGTCAAGATATGTCCTTTGAGTTTTTCACAATGTGTATCATCACGAAGAAATGGCAAACTCAATCGTAAATTGTATAAGGACTGATTTCGTCAAAGTGGTTTAGTATTTCTGGCAAGACGGTTTCAGACGTGTTCCGATATATGGTACCAGCTAAAACCTACGGTCACTGATAAAGTTGATATTTAAATGTCAGCTGCCAGCACCGGTCTAATTACACATACATTTTCACAAATGACTTATTGTTGTGATAGAAGCGTTGACCTAAATATATGCATGATGGTACACCGCTCATGTTAGCCCAGATTATCTATGCACTTCCTTGCAAAACTATGGTCAAAAGTGATAACGTAAAGCAGTTAAAATCTATGGGGTAGCCGACCACCAAATTACCTAACTGACCTGCATCGCGCTAAGGCCACCTGATTTCTGACGCTGAAATTATTTTAAAATACAGTATTTCCCACGCAATTTCGAAGGGTGAAGCTTGCCAAAAATCTTCTCTACCAAATGCATTATCTAAAACACCGTATCCCGTAATATTAGTCTAAGGTCCTTGGCTTAAATCAACTCTGCAAATGTAAGGGTAGCTAGCTAGAGTAGGCTTCTTCTCAGAAACCTTAAAACGATAACCGTCGCCTGAAACATGTCCATAGGTTTCTGGATTAGAATCGGAGTCATCGTCATCGGAAACGTATGCATGCTTAGACATCAGAAATTACAGATAGAAAGATACCAGACGTCGGGCTAGAACATGACAACAAGTATAGCAAATCCAGTAACAGTTGAGTCGTTTGAGAATAAAACTGCTGTAAACGATAAGATAGCTATAATTCATATTTCCGGCGACTATGTTGATTGAGACTTTCGAAAGAACTCATTTTAGGGAGCCTAACGTATTTGTTTTCGGAAGTTGAGTACGTTTGCATAAATCACTGCTAAACGACGTTTAAGGAAATTTCTATTAAGGAAAGACTTTTTTTATTGAATATCCTATGTGCCACACCGGCTCATAGCTTAAAGAGTTAGCGTGAAGGACACGAAGAAAAGGAAGGAAGTGCAACTATTCATCCAAGCAACACAACCAAGACATAACTTATATAGAAAAAAGACAAAAGTTCTTTAAGCTACAAACACCACTGCGTAGTTATCCACTTACATGCCTTTCTCCTTGGGTAAATGATTTCCTTTCAGTGGGATATATCGAAATAAAGGAATGCTAGTTCGATCGCCAAAGCTATTAGCAAAGTGCTTAAAGAGGGTAACGGAATACCCGAAGCACAAGGCGGAGTAGTCAGAATATGATCTAGTCAGAGTATTTTTTCATCTAAAAGCAAATATTGACCAGATCACTAATCAGTATGCAAATTCGTAAATAAGTATTGATGTGCTCGATTCAAATCATATTGCAGTAACATGATTTAAAACTTCATTCTGAGGTTTTTCTAATTTTTATTTTTTCTAATATATTAATTGCTCATACGAAAAAGGATAATGATTTCTTTGCAAATTTTGGTCTTAGCTTTTATTATTCAAACATGTATTCTTTGGCTTGCTACCACCTTTGTAGTCCCATTAGGTCATCATAACTTTTGGAGTTTATGTAGTGGAAGATATGCACTTAATGCACCATACCCATTTGTTTAGCTCGCAAAAGTAACACTGCAACTTTGTCGTGTTTAAATAGCAGAGAAACTCTTAGGAACCACACCCTAGCAACTTTTTATAACAACAATAATTCTACGTGACCCTTCAGCCACTTCCTCTATAAAGAACGGTTTTCTAGACCACGTGCGGCACGCAAAAAGTTTTGATGAATGTTTTGTCGATGTGGTGAATTATGGCCGGAAATGTCTGCAAGGAGAGTAATTTTGGACAATCTCCGTTAAAGCTGCAAAAAGTAAGGATTTATCGCCGTAATAAAATATGCGAGAACTCAGACAAAAATCATGTTTTTTTCTGCAAAACAACTTGGGCTATAGGAAATGAAGAGGCGGGTGACTTAAAACCCCTCCTGGCGCTATCTACTGAGATATTAAGAAAGGCTTTGGTTTGGACAACTAATTTTCTACCGCCAGAAAATGGGTTGAGTCTATCTGGCCGCTTTCCTTCATCACAAATGTAACTTTTTGCCAATAGAACTTCCTTTTTCTATTTGTTATGTCTGGTTCTACTCCTATCTGTTAGCATTTCGTCGATGACGATGACGGAGTTCGTGTTTGTGACACGGTATGGGCCTTGAAAGTAATTACACCTATTCCCCCTAAGTCAGAAGTTTCAGTATTACAATATACATGAGATTTCAATTCGCAGACTGATGGGCTTTGCGTTTAACAGTTTTACAAACAAAGGCATCCTCTCCGTAGCCAATGTTAGCTGTGTTAGCACAACGATACCCTCTTTATGATGAAAGACCTA